TAAAGAAAGGTTAGGTTAGGAATTGCATTCAAAGCTTTTTCCTAACGCTGCGGTCCCCAACTCCCCATATATTCCATTCACCACACTTACTTGCGTCTACACGAAACATACTCTCATCTTTACCTACTCTCCAATATAATCTATTTTTTCTACTATTTTATTGTAACCACAAAGAAAATCGCAATCGTTATTCAAAAATGTGTATTAAATAACTTTCGTTTTTATATAATAACACACAAATTATATAAAAAAAAGGTAAATTATACTGTACTAGAAAGACTCCATATAATGGCAAGAATTGAACTTGTAACTATATATTTGTGTGTATGTATGGCTGGCTAGTCATGAGGTTTTTAATGTTTTTCTTTTTTTTTTAGAAAATGAGAAAAACCAACGATCATTGTTTGATAGTGTGCATTAAATAAATCTCATTTATTATTTTATGTAATAACCTGCAAAATAAATAAAAAAGATAAATCCTACTAACAAAACTTTTTGTGATATATATACTCAATTGAAAGATTGATAAGAATCGAAATCTTAACTTTTTGGTACGAGGTTTTTAAAGTTAAGTTTGGATTTATGATTGAAGTACAAGCTAAGGTTGCCGACAGTATTAAGGTTTAGGTGGGTACGGATCCTGCGTTAAATCTTCTCTCCAATAGAGCCTACAAAAATGTTAGATTAGCAAGAAAAAAAATTGATAAAAAAAACCCCACCCCCGTTAGTCCAAAAACCCACCTTCAAGTTTTTTTTTTTTTTTTTTTCCTTAAAAAAATCATCCTTAAAATCCACAATTCTGGGTGCTTTTAGAAATTATTTTTTAATCAAATACTTTTTCAATACATCAAAATGCAAAAGAACAAGGCTACAAGCAAAACATTAAAACACAATTCTACCCGACACGAGCATGGTTTGTTTCGACAATTCGACCTATAGCCCTATAAGGTCCTAATGTACGCTAACTGAGTATATTCATGATCTGATTAAAAAAAAAAAATGCAATCATTCTTCTCAAAAAAAAAAAAAAAAAAAAAAAAAAAAAAAAAAAAAAAAACGCAATCCAACATCTCATCATGTGAGTTGTTATACCATGGATTAGGGTGGTAGACCCTTTTCTTAAACGACGTATAAATTGTATATTTTTAGTATTGAAATTGTAAACTTCTAAAATATAAATTGTGTTTTTAAGTCAAAACACATAATAGTTGTAAAAAGAAATTTGTAAATACAATATAAGGTCTTCAAATCTTAATCTGTTAATATTGTGTGACTGTAGTATTTGAAATGAACTTGTGAATACAAAACAAAGTAATCAATTACATATATGTTAACATTGTATGTTCGTAATTTACAAATTGTAAATTTTTAAAAGGTGAATTGTAAATATTTGGACTCGAGTTTACATTGCAATGTTGACCCGGGTTTAGGGAATAATTTGTGCTCATCCCGTGAAGCCAACAATCTCATAATACTTATTTGGTGGATGATCTAATGCAATTAGATACAATAAAAATTTAATTACTCGAAATAAATGAGAGAATTTTCCTAATCCATCTCCAGTGTGATGTGTTTCAAATAATAGTCTAATTAGGTTGATTTAATGAAGTTTAATTATCTGCACCCAAAAAAAAATGAAGTTTAATTATGAAAAGTTAAATGAACTAAATAGATGACTTCCCTTGAGGAAATGTCACAGGATCGAACCCTAGTGGTGAGATATTAACTTTTTAGTCTTCAACAGTTTGAAAAAGTATAGAACGGATAATGCCTTGTAATATAGTTAATAGTATTGAAGAAAAAACTAAATAGATGACTTTGTTTGGAAATTAATTTTAACTGTTCACTAATCGTATTATTATATTATTTGACTAATTAATTGTGTTAATTGTTATTTATACAACCACATTTCATACAATTAATTACTCTTCTCCCTTGTGCACAGTGAGCACCGGTCTAGCTTCTGTGATTAATTTTCAGTTGAGTCACCATGATTTACATCCTCCCATCGCTCTGTCGGGCCGGGGTATGGGGGGCCCTTGGGGTTCAACCTTTTGGAAGAATTACTCTTCTCCCAAACAATTAATTACTCTATAAATACGCACGAGGTATAATGTATAAATGGGTCCTCTTACAACTTAACCAAAGGTCTTAAAATCAGACATTAAAAATACAATTACCTTAAAAACCTATGAAGGAGTGCTTTGTTACATTTTAAGGTCTTGACATGAACAAGATTAATTTTGGTGTGTGATTGCTAATTGCCAAGCTAGGAAAACATGTTGTTAGACCCCAGAAAAATTACTTTATAAATTGAATAATTCATTAAAACTAACTCAGGGCTTTCTCATTGAGGAATTTTTGTTTAATTTTTCTTTTCAATTTCTGAGATAAATATGCTAATTTGGATGAGATAGGAGAAAAGATTGGCATGTTATTCAAAATGATATAAACTTCAACAAATTATATCGTGGACCAGGATCCACAATTCACTGTGAACACGCAACACGCACACGTGCACACATGCTTGGAAAGTTGGAAGCAGACACACCATGGACCACCCCATCTTGTTGAGAGAGAAAATATGTAGAAACTTTGATGCAAAACAAACACAACTAAAATAACTAACAATATTTGTTACAATTGTCCAAGCTAGAATTTTAATGTTAATTTAAACATTTTAATTATATTTGCATCAACACATGTAGGCACAACTGAAAGCAAGTACACCACTTAAGTGACAATTAAGAGTGGACCACCCCCACATGTTTATCATACTATACACAACAAACGCATCTAAAAATAACTAACATAACTAACAATTATTGAAACTAACTGCCAAGAATCTTATGATCTAGTGACACTAAGTTGATACTAACTAAATTAAAATTTCACTTTAACTTATTTGATCGAGTTTACCAAAATGGCCCATGAACCATGGTATGATACTATGATGGCATGGGTGAAAAGTTAACACAAATAGTGTGAAAGCAGCAGAAATAGGAATCACAAATCAGATAACTCGTGAACCATTTCACTTCATCTTAGACACAAAAGCTAATTAAGGCAGGCTACAAGACAAATTATTGGCTAGCTTGGTTAATTACTATTCTGCCCTCCCATTATTCATTTTACATTTTTACCCTTCTCCCAGAAGATCCAAATTAGCAAAACGGCAAAGAGAAAGAGAAGAGATGACAACAAATGAGCAGCACGGCACCACCCTTGATTTGGGTATACACGTGGCGTTCGAGAGAAAAGTAGCACGCAAAATTGGTGCTGCCTCGAGGTACGCGATCACTGAAAGACTAACTGGGCCCAAAGCACGAACTACCATCGAAATGGAAGTGAAAAGCAGATAAGATTCTCGAGACCTTGGAATTAACGAAGGGATGGATTAGAGGAAACGCTGTTAAAGACTGTTTACGGTCAACTACCGGAGTAACGGTCAAACATATGCTTTCCGATGTGACCCTACGGGAATCCTGCTAAACTTTACTCAAGATCACCAAAATTTAACCTCCCTTCATCATTAGCAAAACACGATATATATGATGTTAACTATAATTGTTTTTTTTTTTTTTTTTTTGTGATTAAGAATCGAGATTACTTGTTAATCTCGTGTTTTGATAATCATGATGTGAAATTTCGATCTGAGGAAAGTTTTTACAGAATTCCTGTTGTCTCCAATGATGTGACAGCTACAAATACCTCAATTTTTAATTTTATTTGCACAAAAATAAAAGTTGATATGTCAGTTGTTATACTAAGAACTTACCAGAACATTCGATAAATTTAGAAAGCTCGTTATTATATAACCAATAAAATAACTAACCGTTTGCCTAACTAGACTTGTTTACTTGTCCAATGGGCAAAGACCGTGTGCGAATCCCATGTGTGGACTGTGGTTCTGCATAGGACAAAAGTTGCACTTCTTTATTACGTCAAAAACAGTTAATGATATTTGAGATATTTTTAAATAAAAAGCTCATATAAAAATATATCTAAAAAATTTTTATTATCAAATTCATCAGACTAAATATATATATATAAAAAATCATGTGAAAATAACATAATATAAAGTAAAAGTTGAAAACGAATCTCTTTGCAACTCTTGCAAGTCAATTATTATTATTATTATTACTAAAGTTAAAAAAAATTGAATTTATACTAAGAAAATTAAGATTGCAAGAAAAGAAAAGAAAAAAAAAATATAATTATATGGGTGATAAAATAGCCGGCGTACTATATTTAAAATGACAGTTATTTAACAGATTTTTGAATGAACGACCCATGAAAGTTTCCCGCCAACTATCAACTATCAATCTATCATGACTTTACATATAGTACAACCGAAAGGCCCGGTGACCTTTTCTTCTGTGCCAGCAAAGGATAGTAATGGACTATTATAACCCCACCATAATCCTATCCGATTCATAAAATAAGAGCACTGATTTCAGCAAATTAATTACTACTCCCAACCTCCCCCACAATTAGAAAAGCGTGCATGATTGTACTACCTGGGGGGACCACTAACGGCGTCATTGACGGCACCGGGGTGGGTTGGACGCCATGCAAGAGGCATCACTGCAAAACAAAGAACGAAACGTTAACGCACTAATTAACGGAGTCATGATTCCAACAAAAACCCAAATTTGACAATTCAGATGTTATCTTTGCCAGATGTCGAAACCGCAGATCATTGTCCACTCACGTGTTCAGCAGTTCTTCAGCCGCTTCACACGCCATCCGCCTTGTAATGATGCGAAATTACGTCTCTGCCCCTAACCACCGTTCTCACTTCAGGTGTATATACCTGTGTACTTCAGTGTATATATATGTGTTATTTCTGAATTATAAAAAACATGAGAACTGAGAACAGACATAAAAACATAAAAACATAAAACCATAATAATAATATAATAATAGTCCTGGGTAATTTACCGGGAGAAATGGTTACAAGTAATGAAAGGCTTTTTCTACTAGTCTAAGCACAAACCTTTCTGTTTGTTTCTTCCTACTTTCGCTCTTTCATGGAGTCCCAGCTTAAGTTTCTTCTCGGCCGCCCGCTCCCAGATCTCCAGTAATGGCTCATTTTTCAGGTGGGTAAAAATTGACTGGGGTGTTGCTAGATTCAATCAATAATTATTCAGTGAATTCCTTTGTTTTTAAAAATGAACAAAAATTAAAATTAAAATTTTATCCAGTGAAACATGTGAAGAATAAAGTGGCATTCTGATAAAAGATCAAGAAAGATTCCGTACAGATTTATTCCTGTTCCTTTGCAATCTATCACTCATCTATCTAATTCTAATTTTAATATTTATTAAATCAACAGATTAAAGCTATAATTTTTTTTATTAAATTAAAATTGTTTTTAGACATCAGTTACTGTCTTCAAGAGGGTAGAAAGATTGGTTGGGGTTTTCTTTTGAGAGATCTGGTGCTGAAGAGTGAAGAAAAGCATTTGATGTGTAATCAAAAATAAGTCTTGATGAAGAAATGGGTTGAAATAAATTCCAGAACTTTGATTTTATTACTTTTTTTTTTTGGGAAGTTGCAGCATTTCATTTTCTATGGGTTGTGTCTGAAAGATTTTCTGGTGCAGGGAAGCTGGTGAACTGAATTTTGAGCTGGGTTTCTGTGAGGTTGCAAATTTGAAGGTTTTCAAACAATCTGAGGGGAAGTTGTGAAATCATAGAGTGGAAGGAAAGGGGAAAGGAACAGATTTTACTCGTTTCTGAAATGGATTCCGGGATTGGAAGTTCGATTCCGGAACTGAAAGATTTCCAGATAGGCAGCAGTTGGGTTCCAGCAACCCCAGCAAAGCCTGGCTTGCTGGCATTGGAGCCGATCTGCGAAACAGTGCAGGAAAATGAGCAGATTAGAGCAAATTGGTCAGGCTTGCAAACAATTCCACAAGATTTTTGCATAGGCCAAATGAACCCATTAGAACCAGGAGGGTTCTTGCAGGGAAATGATGCTCTTACCAGGGATGATATGTGTGATTTGACAAATTTAGTGACTGATGAATCTATGCAAGGGGAAGCTCTGAACTTGCAGAACTTCTCTATTGATCATACAGACAACTGGAACAATGTGTCATTTGGGAACCTCTTGGCACTCGCGCATGCTGCAGGAGCCACGGCCACAGTTGAAAACGATGCCCCTGCACATACACCATTCAATCCCCTCTTCAGTTCACAGAATGCAGGTATCAGTTTCTAACACACATTCTGATACCAAATTAAAGCATGTGCTCCATCTCAACTAAAAGCCTATGCTGATAGTCGGATTGCACATTAATAGTTATATGCTCAACATGGAGTTCTCCCAAATTAATCTGATAAATGTAGGCAGTAAAGATATAAGAATTTCCTGTAAAGTTTGTGAAAGTGTTAGCACCAGACTGATCAAACAGAAACAGTAATACAAGTTATGACATTTGCAAAATAGAGCTGTAATAGTAAACTCTAACTTGCATTGCTTTTGGACCACCTATTATTCCCTTTTCTACTATATAATTTGGTCAGGATTAGAGGTGTAGAAAACTCAATAAGTTTAATGTTCTAATTTTCTTTCAGCAATATATTCGTCAAACTAATATAATGCAAAATGCATATATGTGCAGATGGAAGTTCTGTTAGCTCGAGAATCTCTTTCAATCTGAATTCTCCACCCGAGAGAGATGCAGCCTCAAGCAGCAACTCGTTCCAGTTTGCACCGATCACCCCAGTTCAGAACAAGGGAAGAGAGAGCATGCTAAATTTAAATTTAAATCTAAACATTAATGAGATACCGATACTACAAGATGTACTGGAAAATGTGGAAGAAAGTGACCTCCAAGGGAACAAAGAGCAGTCAGTGCTGGTGAGAGAGCTATCAGAAATGATGGAGAACCACAAGCCTGACAAAACAGGCGAACTAGTTGCTGAAGCAAATCAGACACCGCTTCAACAGAAACCAAGAAGAAAAAAGCACAGGCCAAAGGTGGTTGTTGAAGGCAAAGCTAAAAGGGCGAATAAACCAAGAGCCCCGAACACTCCAGGCACCGAGGAGATTAAGGCAGAAAAGAGGAAGTATACCCCAAGAAAAGGAGTAGACAAGCCTCCCGCCACTCCTTTGGATGAGGGTTCACCCATAATAAATCCTGAGATGATGTCTCCTGGTTCCAGTAAGACCCCAAAAGTGGATAGAAAACGTCCTAAAAGAAACCGAGGTGTAGCCACTCCCAGAGATGAGGATTCAAATGTAACAAATCCCGAGACAACACCTCCTGGTTCCAAAGAAACCTCAAAAATGCATCCTCAAAGTAACCAAGGTCAAAAGCCCACAAAAGATCCCATTGAAGAAGGAAGCAGTGAAACTATTCAACCAGAAACAGCTTCCCGCCCCAGAAGATCCTCGAGGAGATTTTTAAATTTTGACTTTGTGGACCTTGAAGAATATGAGAATTTCACTGAGCCATCTTCAAACTTTGATAACTCGCATGTGAAGAATATCTGCGAACAGGTTAAATCAATGCCAGCAGTGCAACTTGAACAAGATGCAGAACTCACCGAAGTGAACATTAGTTATGACCTCATAAATCATGAGATAGGAAAGTCCATTTCACAGCCAGGAACACAAATTCCTGATCCTTCAAATCCCAGCAAGATTTTGATGGATGGAAATCAAACTAAATGCACAAAAGGGAAGTGTAAAATCATTTTTTCAGATGCAACACATGACAAAGAGGACTATCTTCCAGAAATGACTGCACCACAATGTGCATCAAGCAGCCAAAATAGCTCCAATTGTAGCAGCAATGCGTGCTTGACTGAGGAAGCCCAATTAAGAGGTTCAAAAAGACAGCATTCATGCTTGGCCGAAGCAGAACCCTACAAAAGTATCGGTGGAATTCATTATAACTCTTTGCAGGCATATGAAGCAATTCTTTCAGACTTTGACAGATTCATCGGAGTGCCTTTTCCTACAATTTATAAGAAAAAGAGGACTGAGAAGGGGCAAATTCCTGCAACATCTTGTAGTAAAAACTTCAAAACTGGAACTCAATTTGAAGTTCATGGTGCCCAAACAAATGCTGCACTTCAGTCTCCCAAGTATCTTCAACCATTGAACACTGACGTGTTGAAAAGGAAGAGATCAAAGGGTCTCACTCGAGTCCGTGACTTAGCATCCCTGCATGAGATTTGCAAACAGTTCCCAACTTATTCATCCTCCAGAGAAGCAGCAGCAAAACAACACACAGGGCATCTCAATACATGCATGGAAGCTCTTGTTGCCGACACTCGCCCAACAATGAAAATGAAAACGAAAAAACGTTCAAAAAGAAACAGTCTGAATGGTACAGTGGCTCCCAATACACAATACATTAGAACACCAATTGGTATGTAAAATGCAATCTCGAGTTTTAGAGAAAGAACTTAACTGCATTTGGCTCACTTTTTTCATGTAACATCTGATTCAGGTTCTCTGCCAGCTTTACCGTGGAGGGGCTTTTCTCCAATTGACGAAATTGTGGAGCGGTTCACCTATCTTAATATAAATGATGCTGATAATCAAGGTCAGTACACACTCAGTACCAGAAATGTGAAGTTCCAAAGGGAAACTGCCCTTGTTCTTTATCAAAGAGATGGAACTATTGCACCTTTTACTGGGGTAAGAAAAAGGAAACCACGGCCAAAAGTCGATCTTGATGATGAGACAACTAGAGTATGGAAACTCTTGCTGCAAAATATAAACAGTCAAGGCATAGATGGAACAGATGAGGAGAAGACAAAATGGTGGGAAGAAGAGCGGAAAGTGTTCCGCGGAAGAGCAGATTCGTTTATTGCCCGCATGCGTCTTGTCCAAGGTAATCATTCGAGTTTCAACATCCCTACTGGCCATCTAATTTAAGCAACTTTGAATTCTGTAGAGAAAATGGTTTGGACACTCCCTCTTTTTCTTCTTCAAACAGGTGATAGGCGCTTCTCTCCATGGAAGGGATCTGTTGTAGATTCTGTAGTTGGAGTTTTTCTAACTCAAAATGTGTCAGATCACCTCTCCAGGTCAGCAACTTATGAATTTAAACTCTTGTAAATTTTATTTTCTGAGTTTAATCCTAGGCAGCTGCTAAAATCCAAGCCATTCTTGCAGTTCTGCTTTCATGTCAATGGTTGCACGATTTCCACTCAAATCAAAGGTTAGCGAACAATTACATGAAGAGAGAACAAATATAACTATTGAAGAACCAGAAGTTTGCATAATGGATCCCGATGACACAATTGCATGGCATGAAAACTCTTTGAATCAACCAACTCCTGGGGAGATGGGTTGCAAAGATGAAGTTGTGAATAGTGAGTTGACTGAAGGTACCTCCAATTGCATTAAGTCCACCGAAAATTTTAAAGCCAAAGATGTAGATTCTTCTGAAAAGGATCCAGAAGATGTGCATTATGGATTAACATTAGATAGGCCAGCAAAATGGATCAACGAGGAAGAGGCAAGTTTCCACAGTGGCCAAACAGAACCAGATAATGTGCTGTCCTCTCAGAATTCTGGAGTTTCTTCACAAAATTCTGTGAACTTTTCACATACGCAAACTGTTGATATTACTGAATCCACCAGTCTTTGCAGCACTTCTTTCATTCAACTATTACAGATGGCAGGAACCTCCATGCTACATGGAGTTTACAATCAGGAAAACAGCTCGGCTAATATGGACATGCCAAACCAACAGAGGGATTGTTCTGCGGAATTCCAAAAGAACAAGGAAGATGACAAACTTCCTGTTATTGGAGAACATTATGGCCTTGAACAAAGTGAATCATCAACAGAATCACCAAACCAAGCAACTAATCAAAAGATCATAGCTGGTGAAATTCCAATGGTCAATTCTGATTCCCAGATTCATACTGAAGAAAGCAACTGCAATTTGCTGCTAGATCAAGAGTGCCCAACTTCATTGGATATCCAGGATATCACAGGGAGAGCCAGTACTGTTGTTGATTCACTGTCAAATTCAGATGGTCAGAATAATAAACATCTTGATACAGTTGATAAAAGACGCAGCAATCCCTCTAAAGAAAAAGAGGGGAGATCTGGGACAGAGAAACAGAATGCAGTGAATTGGGACCATTTAAGACAGCAGGCTTTGGCCAGCGGTAAGAAAAGAGAAAGAACAATGAACACAATGGATTCATTGGACTGGGAAGCAGTAAGATGTGCAGATGTCAATGAGATTGCTGACACCATCAAAGAGAGGGGAATGAACAACATGCTAGCAGAGAGGATACAGGTATATTCACTAATGCAAAGTTCAATACTTCTCCTTCACATTAACAAGAAACAATTGAGAAGGATAATAAAAATGTTGCAGGATTTCCTAAATCGGCTTGTCAAAGAACACGGTAGCACTGATTTAGAATGGCTAAGAGATGTTCCACCAGACAAAGCAAAGTAAGAATGCAATATTTTCCAACATTACTGATATTCAGTCCAGAAAATATTATCCATCTGTTATTACCTTACAAACATTGTTGCGTGTATATGATTTCAGAGAATATCTATTGAGCTTCAGGGGGTTGGGTCTGAAGAGTGTAGAGTGTGTCCGGCTTTTGACGCTCCACCATCTGGCTTTCCCAGTAAGATTCAGCGTCAATTACACAATGCAAATTATTACAAATGAGAAATTTACCTGACTTATGTCTTGTAATAAGGTTGACACAAATGTTGGACGAATAGCTGTAAGGCTTGGGTGGGTGCCTCTGCAGCCATTACCTGAGTCACTACAACTGCACCTTCTAGAGCTGTAAGTGCTTTTACTGCTGCGAAATTTCTCATTGATTGTGCAATGAAAAACTGATGTTGATGTATTTATGCAGGTATCCAGTTCTGGAATCCATCCAAAAGTATCTTTGGCCACGACTCTGCAAGCTTGATCAAGGAACACTGTAAGCATAACTGCCTATAATTAATTTGTTCTTGAATCACACAATGGCAACGGCTCATTAATGATTCTATCTAATTGCAGATATGAGCTGCATTACCATATGATAACATTTGGAAAGGTCTGCCACTGCCATTAGATATCTCTTAATTCTGAACTGTTTTAATTCAGTACAAAGCTAACACTAATTTATTGCCACTTCGCAGGTGTTTTGTACAAAGAGCAAACCAAATTGCAATGCATGTCCAATGAGAGGAGAATGCAGACATTTTGCAAGTGCTTTTGCGAGGTTTGTCTTTTATAATTCTTGCTTGCTTACACTAAAATATTCTCTATTTTCATGGAGTGAAACTAATGAATATGGCTCTTGTAGTGCAAGGCTTGCACTTCCTGCACCAGAGGACAAAAGCATTGTGCCTGCATTTGAGAACAAACCAGCTGAACAAAACACGGTGGACACTATCAATCCACTGCAGCTACTCTTACCTCAAAGCAATGAACAATCAGTAGCACAGTATGGTGTCAACAACTCTCAACCCATCATTGAAGAGCCAGCAACACCCGAGCCTATTATTGAAGTGCCTGCCTCACCTGGGCCAGAGCAAATACCATCAGAAGCTGACATTGAGGATGCCTACAGTGACGATCCTAATGAAATTCCTACAATTAATCTCAATCTGATTCAGTTGGCTCAAAATGTAAAGATGTTTGTGAAAAACAATATGGAGCTTGATCAGGTTGAAATGTCAAAGGCATTGGTAGCATTAACTCCCGAAGCTGCTTCCATTCCCATGCCTAAACTCAAAAATATTAGCCGGCTCAGAACTGAGCATCATGTGTAAGTATATGCTTATAATACCTATGATAGCATGACAATTTAATATCTAAGCAAACCTGCCCTCTTAGACACAAAACAATTAGAAATGCTTACTTCATTTGTTTCTCTATTCTACAGCTATGAGCTTCCAGATAATCATCCTCTTCTAGAAGGGGTGAGTAACTTGACATTTGCAATGTTGAGTAGTTATCAGAACTGAACTCTTTCAATAATTACATTTTCTTATCTTGCAGTTGGAGAAAAGAGATCCAGATGATCCATGCTCTTACCTTCTGGCCATATGGACACCTGGTAAGGAAACACACCTATTGTGAGATATCATAGAACAAGAATCTAGTGATAGATTCAAATGCAACAGTCATCTCCTGTAATTATAAGGAAATAATTTTGTTTGAAATAGCTGAGCATATTTTACTTTTAACTAAGCATAGCAAGTATGTTCCCTGGCCCATACCTTGGATAATGAGGCCAGTTTAAAAGCATTGTGGGCCAGCTCTGAATTATTGTGGTTTTTACTCTTTCCCCTCGTGTTTATTTCCTTGCAATAAGTTATGTGTAATGTTCATATCAGGTGAAACTGCAAACTCTGTTCAGCCTCCAGAAATGAGATGTGATTCCCAAGAATCTGGCAAACTATGTCAGGAGGAAACGTGTTTTGCATGCAATAGCATACGAGAAGCACAATCCCAAACTGTTCGAGGGACACTTCTGGTAAGAATGAGCATAGAAACACTACCACTACAATAATCATGAATCGATGGCCAAAAGGCAAATGAAACAACCTCCTTTGGACCAACCATCTAATAAGATTGTGTTAACAGATACCCTGTCGAACAGCAATGAGAGGAAGCTTTCCCCTAAATGGCACATACTTTCAGGTCAATGAGGTAAAGTATCTCTTATAAGCTCACATAAGCCTACCATGCATATCAAAGTATCCTTTTCTTCTGAAAATGATGAGGTTCTCAAAACATAAACATTCAATAGGTCTTTGCCGATCATGAATCCAGCCTAAACCCAATTGATGTTCCAAGGGATTGGTTGTGGGATTTGCACCGAAAAACTGTTTTCTTTGGAACCTCAATACCAACAATATTCAAAGGTAAAATGGCTAATAAACTCACATTACTGTAGTTATTAGGAAAGTTCTGAGAATTTACTGACATGATTTTCTCTGTTCATAGGCCTATCAACAGAAGATATCCAACACTGCTTCTGGAGAGGTATGTGAATGACAATCACACGTTTCTAGTAGTCTAAATGATCTTATTTACATCCCATGCATTTAAACAAGTAAAACTACAGGACATATATTTAGTGAGAGCTCTCCAGATTTAACCATGAAAAAAGACAATTTCAGCCATAAACTAGTCTTTCTCACACTAATCTCCTTACAAAAGGAGAGCATATATAAAGAAGAGTGAAATTCAATAGATGGGCAATGAGTTCACATTCATTCATCTTCCATGTGTTTATTACTTGCAATTATAAATGAAAGCATTACATTCTCAGACCTATTTTAATCATTAAACATAGTATCAATTAGCCAATTTATTAAACACCCTAGTAGTATTAAGAATCTGAAAATATAGGAAACAGAGTAGACTGTAGAGTAACATAGCACTATTGTTCCTTATTCCTATTTTGCCTGCTATCTTCTTGTGTTCTTTACTTCGTATATTTCTTTTATTCAAAATCTCATGCTCTTGTATATATTTCTAGTCATTAAATAGTGCACAAAGACTGCTCCAGCATAGAACCAAATAGTCAAGACCCCTCTCCATGTTTTCTTGTATGACAATACTTATGCCATGACATCTGAAAATATAGGAAACCATAATTTATCTTGTAACGGACAAATCAGCCCTCTCTAGTTTTTCACTCCACTCGGAAGTTAATGGTGATATTTTTTCCAGGGTACGTTTGTGTTAGAGGATTTGATCGGAAGAAGCGAGCTCCTCGACCACTAATGGCCAGGTTGCACTTTCCAGCCAGCAGATTGACCAAGAATAAAAAAAAGACGGATGAAAGCTAGGCACTAACCTGCTGAACATAGCCTCTGACATTCATATCATAGCAGTTCAGAACAGAGAGTGGCATGTTATTTAAAGACATGCTACTTATCAGAAATAGGCATTTAGATGTAAATATATTTCAAAATGTGTAGAGTGATGAAGAATAGCCATTCATTGCTCAAAACTATGGTCACTGATGTCTTTTAGCGAGAAAAACCAAAAGTTTCAGTCTGATTTATCATTTACTTCCATTATTTCAAATCCAGTTGCTTTATGATTCTTTCCATCATTTTCTTTTTAGGCTAGAATATTTGTCAGCAAAGTCTGGTTACACATATACGAAACCTAAAACAATAAAATGAAATTTATTCAAACCACAACTGACAAATGCTCTATCCGGGTTCTGAATGCATCTTATTGATGCTGAGATTAATTTATGCAAACAAACGGATATGTATGCAGTACTAAATCTTCCCAATGAGAGGAATGCAGTACTGAATCTGCCCAAGTTGAGAGGAATAAGCATTTTAGGCTAGAAGATTTTGATCATCATGGCAATGCATTTCATAACTATCTATTTTAAAAGCACATAAGTTCTAGCGAATAGATGGCAAAGAAAACAACACATAAATTCTAGTAAATAGATGGCAAATAAAACAGCACATAAGTTCTAGCAAATGGATGGCAAAGGAACCAGAGCATTGGAACATGAAAATTTAAGAAATGAAAACCTGCACAACTAGATCTTGCCTTGTAAATCTGATGTCAGTTTAAACCTGCTAGAAGAATGAAGAGCCCTTGAAATCATATGATATCGTGTCTCAAGAAGAACAATGCACAGGTTCCCTAGTTTGAATTAAACTTTAATGTAAATCTAAAAGCAATATTCACGGAAACAAGATTTACAGTAAACGAAAATCCAAGTCAACATCAGAGTACCTTCAATAGATTGAATAATGGATGCGCGACTGTTGCGTATATACTCATGCTGTCTCTGATTGATTACAGTGAGCCTTTGAGAAGTTTTTCTGCAGAAAATCTAACAGCATTATTCACACAAACAAAATTTACAATAAACGAAGATCCCAGACACCATCAATATTCACAAAAAACAATAATTACAGCTAACGAAGATCCAAGTTAACATGAGAGTACCTTCAATAGATCGCATAATAGATGCGCAACTGTTGCATATGTACTCGTGCTCTCTCTGGTCGATTATGGTGAGCCTTTGATGAGCTTGCTGAAAATCTGCTCTTTTCTCTGCTTGAATGAAAGAGAGTGATGGTGTATGAAATCTGCTCAGCTGGAACTTTTTGCCGCCAACCCGTTTTCGAGTTCCCTCCTTTTTTTTTTAGTTACAGATAGGTGGTAATATGCGCGAGCCGTGATGAGCTGGAGGACATAGACCCGGTCCGGGAAAATACAGGAACATATGCCTTAACGGCTACAGTAGCGGTTCGGCTCGGTTTCTTGTTTGAACTCCGGTTTATAACATTTTTTTTTCTCAAATTTCAAATTCAAATATTCTTTTTTAATATAATTATATTTTGCTTTTTATACTTAAAACAACAATAATAATAAAATGTTGAGTTTGCATTTATTTTTATGAAATCTAAAGTGCCTACCTATCTTCTTGAGAAGAATCACAACTCACGTAATTTTATTACTTTTTTTTTTTTGTTTGTGAATCATTATATAAGAATAAAGTTTAACATTTTTCAAGATAAAACCTTGAAAATACCATATTTTTTAAAAATAAGTAAAACATTAACATATTTAATACAATTAGTTATAACTAAATGAATTTTAAATAATAAACTATAAACAAAACACGTAAGTAACACCACCACCAGAATATTAAATAAATAAACAAACTTTATTTATTAGCTAATTTCCAATGTTGAGTTACATTGTAATTATGACAACATTGCTGCTTCGCTTGATAAGCGAATTATTATTTCATGATATGAAGTAATTTCACAAAATAGACTATTAGTAGGTTCAAACAAGTTTGTGTATGTAATTAAAATGTCTGCTTACTACATACTTTTAATGTGATTCGAGCCAATTATACTAATTGTTATGATTAAATACTAATCACTATACAAAAAAAGTTCTAACTAATTGTGAAAGTGCTGATTTATTTATTTATATTTGTGTATCATTCAACACCACAATGACAGCCTTGATCACAAAACTAGGTCAATTAACAATAATAACATAAATAAAATATAATATTTTACTCTCCCCTTATTTTAAAATATCATATACAATATGCATATACAAATAGACAATCCACATCATTATACGGAGTATACGACCACAACTAGAGTAGTCACCATCAATTACATCATATCAATCAGATATTTCTAAATCAAAATAATCACATATCAATTTTCATTACAAATACAAACAACTTGAATTGCTATAAATCATAAAAGTTAGACTAAACCCTATATTATATATATAATGTATAAATAAGTATATAGCAATGCACATATATGTGTAGTTGGATGAGCAAAGTAGATCGATATGATAATTATATATGTACATGATTTATTGCACTGTAAATGATATGTACATATCAACAATCACATAGATCGAAAGAAAAAATCCTTACAAAAAAATTTGCGAGTACTTGCATTCTGGTCATGTTGATCGATTTGATAAGCGAGTTCCATAGACGATTAGATCTAATAGCTCCTTCATAGTAGATGCTCAATTACTTGGCGGTGAAGATCGATGAAGAAATTATAATAAAGAAGGGTTACACATTGTCATTAGAGAGAGATTTTGTGTGTAGTGAGTGGTAGCTAATGATGTAAAGTGTGAGATTAATTTAGCCGAGACGATTCTAAGTAGTCGAAGTCAATATTAAAATAGCATGAAACTCACGCTATGTCCTAGTGATAACGTGTAACGCGTGCCCGCTATGTGAGAGATAGTCCTGGACTGGTTGTCCACCACCTTCTCTCTCATTCTTTTGTTCTCTTTATATGTCGATGTCCGTGTTTACAACATGATTTTATTTGTGAGTGATGTCTCCCTCTCTTTCTCTCTCACACACACATATGAGTATTTGATATTTAAAAAAAAAAAAAAAATTGTTGAGTTTTAACTGTGAGAGCCGAACAACGTAGTGGTAAGCACATGACAATTGGTATCATAACAGGTTATTATATCATTATAGTTGGTATTAGAGCCGAGAGTGCACAAAAGGCTTTCAATGTGATATGAATTTGTGTCATGCTCTAGTAATAATTGTCAAATACAATATTTTACACTAGAGTAAAAGACAATTTTTTGTCTTAGACTTATAGCGGCACGGACAATTTTAGTCATCTTTAAAAAAAACCAGACAATTTGTGGACACTCTTATTGTGACAGGACAATTTTGGTCATCCGTCAATCTTCCCGTTAGATGCTCCGTTTGAGAGGGGGTAATTTCGTATTTTCAACATACCTCCCTCTCATTCCAACACATTCTTCCATATTCTCCAGGCTCTCTGGAATGTGAATCACTTTGTAAATCCAAACACAAACAATCCCCACACAAATGGAAGCCGAGAGTGGCAATGCCGACCTCTTCCATATAGCCTCTTTAGCTTGTTACTCTCCCTATTTCTTATCAAACTAAACAACATATCAGAGTCCCCTGCTTATTATTCCGTACCTTTCTTTCCATTCCATCTACAAACACCAATGGATTTTGTTCTCTACTGGATATCTTCGACGCCGCTCGCTCTCAGCTCCTCAATATTATCTCTCCACTCTCTCTTAGATTCTTGATTTCAATTAGCTTTTCTTTCTCTATTTCTAAAGGTTTTTAGTTTTGACATGCCAAGATTTTGACTTTAGATTTTTTAAACCAAATTAAGATATGGGTTTTAAAGATTTTTTGTTATTAAACTTTGATTTCCTTTTTTCCCTTCAATTTTTTGTTTTATGGGAAAAATTGTGCGAATATAATTGGTGGCGTTATACGACGGAAAAAATGGAGTCCACCATGTCAATGGCGACTGGCGTTCTGACTTTGATATTGGTCAACCCGGATTTCTTGAGAACCGATCTGATTATGTGCATGGTGGGGACGATGGGCCAGATAGAGTCGTCATTACAGGGGCTGAGGATTTCGTTGCCGACTATGACGTAGCGGATCTTGGTCGCCAGGTAAAAGGCGGCGACGTTTGTTCTGACCCAGCCGTCGGCGAGTGCTTGGTTCGAGGAAATGTTGGGGAGGAGGTCACTGGGGACCATGATTAAGACGTGTATTTTGATGCCTTTTAGGGCGTTTAGGATTTGTGGGTCGGCGCCGTAGATCTTGACGTAGGAAGCATTGAGTTGCCGGAGAAGCTTCACCGATTTGTTGGATTTGCAGAGTGATTCACATTCCAGAAGCTGGAGAATATGGAAGATGGGTTGGAAGGATAAGGAGGTATGTTGAAAAGACAAAATTACCCCCTTTCAAACGGAGCATCTAACAGGAAGATTGAAGGATGACCAAAATTGTCCTCGTCACAATAAGAGTGTCGACAAATTGTCTGCTTGTTTTTAAGGAGGACTAAAATTGTCCGTGCCCCTATAAGTCTGGGACAAAAAAAATGTATTTTACTCTTTACACTATGTCAACAAGTTATAGCTAATAGCAAATATGTAACATTTTGTATTTATATTTGCATAGCTAGTAGTCGTATCATAGATATAAACTCAATGTCTGTTTATTTACTTATATATATTGGTACATGATGCAATTGGATTTCGATATGTATATTGATATAATTAAAATTAGAGCAAATATCAATGTTGGTCCCAAGAATATTATCAAAATGACAGTTTTGACCAACATATTTAATTACTGTCAATTTTAATCAAACAATTATTGTTTTCGTACCAAATTTGATCACACCGGTCATCCAGGTGACAAAAACATACAAAAATATCTAATTTATAAGGATATTTTTCTTCCATCCATTGTATGTGTATTTTCAAACAAGTTGTAATACTCTTTCTTAGTACACCACAATGCCATATTGCCATCGGATTTCCCATTTTCGTCGCACCCTATTGATCCAGTTGGTTGCACATAAATTTTCAAGTTACGTTTACCTTTGTTTTGTATTGACAGTTCTATTATTGTACCATATAAAAATGGAGGCAAGTTGATCTCTTCATTTAATAAAAAAAGAAGTCTAACTCATTATTATTATTGTACCATAAAAATTCCAAGAATATTACGATTACGCCATGGAACAGAACATCCATATTCTTCCCTCCCCCGACAAGTGCGAAGACTATTGGAAGCACCAGTGAGAAAATATGGTGAGAGAGAGAATATGTTATTAGAAGTATTGCTACAGTAATGAGGTTGCTAGGGTTTTGTGTTTTATAATTTTGCTGAAAATTTCCGATGGAAATGCCTGGAAGACGATCTAATTATTCGTTGTTGAGTCAGATTCCGGACGATAACTTCCACCAGCTACCGAAGTTTACCGCTCCCGGAGCTGGTGTGCCAGCTTACGAGTCTCATTCAGGGGAGAAGAATAAGGCGAAAGGTGATAAGGGATTTGATTGGGACTTGATTGATCATAGAATGATTCAGTCGCAGAACCGGATCGGGACGCCGGGGTACCCGGCGTCGATTGGGCTGCAGAGACAATCCAGCGGTAGTAGCTTCGGTGAGAGCTCGATCTCCGGCGAGTACTACATGCCGTCGTTATCCAATCCTGATGCATCTTATGGACAGTTAAATGATGGTGGCGGCGACCTGAGGCTAGGTGGCGGCGGCTCTTCGTCGTCCAAGAGCTGGGCGCAGCAGACTGAGGAGAGCTATCAGTTGCAGCTAGCACTGGCGCTACGCCTTTCATCTGAAGCTACATGTGCTGATGATCCTCATTTTTTGGATCCCGTGCCCGACGAAGGGGCATCGAGGTCTTCAGCTTCAACTGCTTCAGCAGAGTCCATGTCCCATAGATTCTGGGTAAGTTTTTTCATTCTCTTATATTTAGTTTTATAATTTTCTGTTCTATACCATGATGACAACGAGTCAACAAGAATACGTGGTAATGACAAAACTCTGCACTTGTTTGGGTCCAACTTTGTGCTATCCAAAAGCTTTTTGGTTTTGGAAGTAAAAGAAGGGGCAGTTAATCTGGATTAAATGAAGATGCTGCATTATGCAGCAGCTTGAATGGTATTTATCACACTACCATAAGTCCATAACACAACCACAGTAACTAATACTGCAAATCTGCTAACAAAGGAATGTTTTGCATGTGCCCTAAATTTTGCTTCCAAAATATATGGGTCATCAGGTAAATGGATGCTTATCATACTCTGACAAAGTTTCTGATGGGTTTTATTCAATTCACGGGATCGATCCTTATGTGTGGACTGTCTGCTCGGAGCTGCAAGAAAATGGTCGCATTCCATCAATTGAATCATTAAAAGCTGCTGATCCCTCCATTTTACATTCGGTTGAAGTAATTTTGATTGATAAGCATAGTGACTCCAATTTGAAGGACCTGCAGAATCGGGTTCGTAGCATGTCCAATAGTTGCATCACACCAGAAGAGGTTGTTGAAGAGCTTGCAAGGCTAGCTTGCAACCGTATGGGGTGAGAATTGACTACATACTAATAAATTTCACAGACCTCCCCCCCTCCCCCCCTTCTTTTCCTATCGTTTTGTAATTAAGTTTTATTGCCTTCATAAGGGGTGCAACTTCTAGTGGAGAAGATGACTTGGTTCCTGTCTGGAAGGAATGCAGAGATGATCTTAAGGACTGTTTAGCATCTGTTGTGATTCCCATTGGTAGCTTGTATGCTGGCCTTTGTAGACACCGTGCTTTGTTATTCAAAGTATGTTTTGGTCAGTTGTTTTCCAACAATTATGTTCCGTCATGTAGTTGTGGATTAAATTCTTAAAAAAAAAACCATATCTACACCTCAGCTCTCTCCGAGCCAAGAATTCTAACTCTTATAATGACCATATTTTCATATGTATTTGAAATTTGATGCTACAGGTACTTGCTGACTCTATTGATTTACCTTGTCGAATTGCCAAAGGATGTAAATATTGTAACAGAAATGATGCTTCCTCGTGTCTTGTTCAGTTTGGTGTTGACAGGTAAAGTTGGGACCTAGAATGCTCTTTTGCCATCTTCATTCTTACACTCAAGGGATCTTTTATTTTTTGAAGTTATGTAGAGATGATGCATGCATTGCTTGTTTTGTTGGCCCCTGAGTTTTAATACGTCACTAGCCTGGAATCTTCTAAAGTCTTTGGAGCTTATTTGGTTTTGGACTTAGTGGCTTATAACATCTCCTGTAGCAGAAAATTTATCTCTTTTGCTTTCTTTTTGCCTGCCTACCTACGAGAGAGAGAGAGAGAGAGAGAGAGAGAGAGAGAGAGAGAGAGAGAGAGAGAGAGAGAGAGAGAGAGAGAGGGAGAGGGAGAGGGAGAGGGAGAGGGAGAGGGAGAGGGAGAGGGAGAGGGAGAGGGAGAGGGAGAGGGAGAGGGAGAGGGAGAGAGAGAGAGAGAGAGAGAGAGAGTGTGTGTGTGGGGAATGAACTGGAAACATAGAAATAATAGCAGAGGAGTCATAAGAAAAGCAGTTGATAGGTTGAACAACAGCATATGGTGTACATAATGTTTTCAGACACATGCATCTTTGCTTTTATTGGTGTTACATTTAGTACAAATTACATCTACTTACAAATTGGATTAGTACCTGGTGAAAGATAAAATATGATAATATGCTTTACCATCACAGGGAATACCTGGTTGATTTGGCTGGAAGGCCAGGATGCTTATGTGAGCCTGATTCGTTGCTCAATGGTCCATCTTCCATTTTGATTTCTTCACCATTGTGCTTCCCCAGATTCAGACAGGTTGAAACTACAACTGATTTCAGTTCCTTGGCCAAAAAATATTTCTCAGACAGTGAATCACTTCATCTTGTTTTTGATGATTCTTCCACAGGTGATAATATTTAATATACTTAGCTGTCTATGCCGACATCTCTGCAGTTTGTTACGGAGTATTTATTTATTTTTTAATATCTTTGGTTTTACTTCCATTGCCTTGTTACTATGCTTTCCTTTTTTCATGTTATTTTTTGTGGGCTTAGCTATTTCTTTCTCTTTTGCCAATAGATGACAAGGACACTCAGTTTCACATAAAATATATAGAGTTTGCTGCACTAAAAAAATAAATCCCCTTCCTTCAAGAAAATTTAAAATACAAAGAAATAAAATAAAGGGATAAAGTACAAAGAAGCCATCCAACTGTTTGAAAAACAGCAATTATGCCACCTAATTTGAATAAGCTCTAAAATTATGCCACCTAATTTGAATAAGCTCTAAATAAATCTATGGACCTGGTAAAATATTGCAATAAGCTTTTTTAGCAGGTAACTTACCGGTTGTTTCTTACCAGGATTGCCACGTGTAATTATTTTTAAAAAATTTATTTCCAAATAAATCCTCAGTTTCTTCTTTGATCTGCGTGTACTTCCCCCCACGGGGGAACGACTTCTTCGCACCGACTTCAACGGTGTACTCGCTGTTTGATTGGATCCCTATGAACTCTCCAAGCGCAGCCGACTTGGCTGCTAGCTGTCTCTGCAAGCCATCCAATGTTTGAGGGTATTGTTGAGGGGAAGTAGATGATAGCGGGTGGAGGTCAGAGCTGAGGAGGAGGCGAAGTATTTCAAAGAGAGAAAATGGCCAATATGAGTGACCGGCAGCGGATAGAGACAGAGAAAATGGAGATTTGATTTCTAGTGGCTATGCCTTATATTTCCGATGATGTTGACTTCGTCAATGATAGCAAATTCCGTGAACATTGTGAGCAGCTACGCTTCCGTCATGTGTTTCGTCACTCTCTTCGCTGTGCTTCTCAACTGCTTCTCCCCCTTTGCCATTAATGCCGGAAGACACAGTAACTTACACACTCTCTCCCTCCCCACCCCACCCCCCCTCTCTATTGTCTACAGTGTTAAGCTTGTTCGTTGACTAGTGCTTTGCGCTGATCTCACCGTATTCCTCTCTCTAAAATTTCTATGTATTTTCTCCTTATTCTAGACTTCTACATTGGCCATTGCACTTTTGCTGCAGTCTGGGCATGTTCTGGAGAATTTTTAGATTTGGTAGATGGCTCAAGTACACGGAAAATTTTATTTTAAAAAAATACATGTGGCAATCCTAGTAAGCAACAACATGTAGGTTTCCTGCTAAAAAATATAATAGCAACATTTTTCCAGGTTCGTAGATTTATTTGGAGCTTATTTGAATTGGGTGGCTTAATTGCTGTTTGCCAAATAGTGAAATAGTTGGATGGCTTATTTGTACTTTATCCCTAAAATAAAAGATAAAGAAAAAATTTAATCTAACTAATCAAAAAAGGGGACATTTCACTATCCAGAAAATGAGCTTTCTTGTCCATAAACAAAAGTAGATGTGCTTGACTTTCTTTATTATCAGTGCAGCTGACTTTCTTTTCCAAAAAGGAAATATATAAATAAATGACAAAGCGAATACCACTTATCTCCTTATTGAAGATGGCTAAGTGACAGACGGAGAGGACCTTGGTTAATGAGATGTAGATTTAGTTGAATGTGTATAAATTGTATCATTTTTTTTTTTTAAAAACACAAACTTCATTTATATGGCAGATATTTTTTCAGTTGTTAACATGTTGAACTATTCTAACATAACCTTTGACATGTTCAGCAATTTTTTTGAAAAATGAATGTTATATTTTTTAGGAACTGCCATTGACGGAGATGCTAGTGTTCCCATGTGTGCTAAACAAACAGACAGGAATTACATTGATAGAAATGGTTGTGTGCCTAGTTCAAGCAATCAAGATGAAATCTCAAGATTACCTTTGCCTCATACAAATGCTCAGAGAAAAGCTCATTATAAGGAGTCACAACATGTTGAAATATATAACCCTTCAAATGCCATCAGCCCACTGAACATTGGGATAGACACACATCCTCTTATAGTCCAATCTGACCCTAGGGTCGATAGTCATCTACTTTCACATAAACCGGGTAAGGAGCTTGGGCTTGATGTAGAAGATCTGGATATTCCCTGGACTGATCTTGTTCTAAAAGAGAAAATTGGGGCAGGTAATCCCTTCTTCTGCCGATCTCTAGGACACTAAAAGTGTTGTTTCTTATACGGAGTATATTGTTGGATGCAGTTACAGTTTACTATCCCCTAGGAGTTTGTAGCTAACAATATAATTTGCTATTTCCAGGTTCTTTTGGTATAGTTCATCGTGCTGATTGGAATGGCTCTGTAAGACCTTTATCCTTTGATTGTCATCATTTGAAATTCATTTATTTTTATATATCACTTTTAGCTTATCTTGCACCTTGAAAATCACATTTACATCAGACATTATCTTAACTTATTTTTATCATGCCTGCAATTTGTTTTTACCTCTGGAAGTGCTTTCTTTGAAACTTCCTTTGCTGATTAAATAATGAGTTTGCTAGTAATTCCAAAAATCATTTATCATTCAGGATGTTGCTGTGAAGATTCTAATGGAGCAAGATTTTCATCCAGAGCGATTACAAGAATTTTTACGGGAGGTGAAGTATTAGTTTGTGACTTGTCCCACACCTCTATTACTTATTACTGGTTAATGTTTCATAGCTAATTTTGTTGATCTCATATTTGGTTTTGTTCAGGTTGCAATCATGAAACGTTTACGGCATCCAAATATTGTACTTTTCATGGGTGCTGTTACTCAGCCTCCAAATTTGTCCATAGTTACAGAATATTTATCAAGGTTTCAACTTGGGACTTCTTCAGAAGTGTTCCCTCTTATCAGTAGTTCAGTACCACCTTATTCTAATTGACTGATACAAGTGAGTTTTTAAAAAATATTTCAGAGGTAGTCTATATAGACTTTTGCATAAACATGGCGCAAGAGAGATGTTGGATGAGAAACGTCGGCTGTCTATGGCTTATGATGTGGTATGCATGAATATCTGTTTCTGTGTTTATGTCTGACTATATTTCTGTGTTTGGCTAATACCTTGATATCATCTTTTACAGGCAAAGGGAATGAATTATCTTCATAAAGGCAATCCTCCAATTGTTCATAGAGATTTAAAATCCCCAAATCTTTTAGTTGACAGGAAGTACACAGTGAAGGTGAGACGAGAACCATCATTAATGTATTGTATGTTTTAACTCTTATGATGACTGATGAATAGCACATAATTTGGTGAATGTGTTAGTCTGAAGCCATTTATTTAGATGGTTAATTTTATTGTGTGGTTTCAACACTTATTTGCCTAACTTGACCGTATGACTGAAAATTGCTGCACCTTAAAGAATTAACATTCTTATTTGACTGTTTAACTCAAAAATCCACTATACTTGATATACCCAATTACCCATGTCCTGCTTCAGTTTTCAACTTTTCATGTCACTTTTTTAGATGAACTTTGGAGATTTCATTTCTTTATATTATTTTAAGCTATAACATGCATTTTACACAATGTTTTCATCAGGTCTGTGATTTTGGTCTTTCCCGATTAAAAGCAAACACGTTCCTTTCTTCAAAATCAGCTGCTGGAACAGTAAGTTCTTTTTATTTATACATTGTAATTTGGTGCTATGAATTCATATAAGGAAATTCTAATGTCCTTTCTTTTGACAGCCTGAGTGGATGGCACCAGAGGTTCTACGTGATGAACCATCTAATGAAAAATCAGATGTATACAGCTTTGGTGTGATACTGTGGGAGCTGGCAACGCTGCAACAACCATGGAGTAATTTGAATCCTGCCCAGGTTTTTATTTTATAATTTTATCATAATTGTTAGTAGGTGGAAGGTGTTCCAATATTGGGATTTTTCAATATATACAATTATATAGGTTGTAGCAGCTGTTGGCTTTAAGTGCAAGAGGCTTGAAATACCACGTGATTTGAATCCTCAAGTGGCAAAAATTATTGAGGCATGCTGGGCTAAGTAAGTTGATATTCTTTTTATGGAACTTCATTAGTTTTCAATTTCATTTACTTTTCATTAAGATCGATCACTGGACGATTGCAGTGAGCCTTGGAAACGTCCTTCATTTTCAAATATAATGGATATGCTGAGACCATTGATTAAACCTGCTACTACACCTCAGCAAGTTCGTACAGGCGTGCAATTGCTTACATGAATGCCTGAAAACTTTTTAAATTGTGTAACGGCACATGGTATTCATTAATTTTCAAGTTGTTGGAGGAAGACTGCTTTGGTTATGTCAGGTATGTGGCATGAAATCTCACACTTAAAACTTCAGTCGTATCATGTCCATTTCCTATGGTTATTGTTTGGTTGGTCTCCAATGAAAAACATGGTGACTTTTGATGTTTATTGATTTGCACACTAGACATGCCCTTGTTTATTTGTGATGACCAATTACGAATTAGTTAACTTGATTTCATCATTACACTGTCTTGGTATTATGCCGAGCTGTTAGGAATGAAGATGAGACATGTTTAGGTTTAAGATGCATGACTTATAGTCTGTTAGTTACCTATTAGAATTATTACCACTTTTGGTCTCACTCTCTCTACTATAGAGATATTTTCACTTTTAGTTCCCAACTATCAATTCAATTACTTTTGGTCTTTCACCTTTCAATTAACTAAATTTAATCCAAAATCATTGAAATGCCTTCACTTTCACCAAACTTTACCCTTCATATGAGGACATTTTGGACTGAATTTCTCAATTTGGTTGATTTGAAAAAGTTAAGGGACCAAAAGTAGTCAAATGGATAGTTGAGGGACCAAGAGCGGGAAATTAATTCTTCTTTTGAGATTCCAGTTATGACATGTACATTGCTGTGTGTTTTGCAGGCTTGTTTGCTTGTGTAAATAATAGTGTTTTGGACTTCAGATAGCCTGTTGTGAAAACTGATTTTTTACATAGTTCAAGCAGAGCAGCCAACTTCTTTGTGTAATCTGGAAGTGATTCTTTGAATGTTAGCAATCAAATATTTTGTACTTTTGTTTGGCAATGGTTTTGTATTAGCTATTGTAATTGAGTGTAGTAGGGGGGATACATGCTGGAAAACTAAACCCACATAGTCATTCAAAATGTAGTCAATTCTGGTTTTATGCTGATTATCCTTTTCAGTCTTCCTAGTTAAAACAAACTAGGACTGTCCATTGATGCTATTGGAGTAGCAAGGTCATCAAATATGAAGTAAGTCATACATATTAAAGAAAATTATTAAGAAAAAGATTGCACTTGAATCCCGAGTGCTTCCATCGCCTCCGCTTGGATTTTTGGTGAAGGAGTTAAATTGTGGGATGATTGAATCTTGCCTTCTATGGTTGCACCGTATTGAATTTTTTAAGGAGGGTAAATTGTGGGATGATTGGATCTTGCACTCATATTAAACGACTAATATGTGTATTTGATTAATTAGCTTTTTGTAACAATTTATTTATTATTTTAAAAAGTTAAAATTCAAAAAGCCGTTCAAAACAGTTTTTTTGATCAGTTTTTTGAAAAAGTTATTTTGCATGGAATTAGTTATTAGTCAATAGCTAATTTACCAAACATTTTTCTACAATGCTATCAACTAGTAAGTCATTTTGCATGTAATACGTTATTAGTTAATAATAGTTAATTTACCAAATATTTTTTAAAAATAAGTTAATGCTATCAACTAGTTAAATCTATTAACCAATCAGCTAATAGCTATTTACTAAACACATTTACATATTTACCATAACCTTAAACTCCACCTGACAAATTGATGAACCTCCTACTTTCAGCCAACGGTTCAGTTGACAAATCTGCAGCCTCTTTCACCATTGTCCTTATAATCACCAAATTAACATTTCTTTATACTCTTGATTGTTAATTCTTATTCAAAAACATACTATATGGAGATTCTCCAGAAAACAATTACATGAAAGAATAAAATGAAGTTTAGCTGTCAGACAAATATGAAGAAGTTGTCATCGGTTGTGATTATTAAATCAATTATTACAATATTTTTTGGTCATATAATCATATTCGAGGCACAACTTTATTAGTTAGACACAATTAGGGGTCGTTTGGTTCACGGAATGTCAGATTACCTTAGGGAATGTTAGATTGCTGGGAATGTTAGATTCATGTGTTTGGTTAAAATTGGTGTATGCAATATAATCATGTTTGGTTTAGGATTATCTTTTATACACTATAATATCCCTAACATGTTTTTATATATTTTAATAAATTTAAAATTAAAATAAATAAATAAGATAACGGTACATATATAATTGCATGATTTTAAAATATTAACTAAAATCTTGAACTTGAGTAACAAAATTATTTTATATACTAACATAATAACATAATAAAAATAAAAAATATATATAATTACAAAAATAATTATATATATATATATATATATATATATATATATATATATATATATATATATATATATAAAATAAACTAACATAACCAATGTTATCTTACATTACTTAAGATTCTGAAGGGAATCACATTCCTTCAAAATCCTATGTGGAGGGAATGTGACATGGGAATGTTAGATTCCCTAAGATAATATGAACCAAACACTGGAATGTGAGCTTTGGAATGTCATATTCCCTTGGTTATGTTATATAACCTGAACCAAACGCTAGGGGGCGTTTGGTTCAGGTTATATAACATAACCAAGGGAATATGACATTCCAAAGCTCACATTCCAATGTTTGGTTCATATTATCTTAGGGAATCTAACATTCCCAAGGAATGTCACATTCCCTCCACATAGGATTTTGAAGGGAATGTGATTCCCTTCTAAATCTTAGGTAATGTAAGATAACCTTGGTTATGTTAGTATATATATATATATATATATATATATATATATATATATATATATATATATATATATATATATATATATATATATTTATTATGTTATGTTAGCATATAAAATAATTTTGTTTCTCAAGTTCAAGATTTTTGTTAATATTTTAAAATCATGTAATTATATATATGATACCGTTATCTTATTTATTTATTTTAATTTTTAAATTTATTAAAATATATGAAAATATGTTAAAGATATTATAGTGTGTATAAAAGATAATCCTAAACCAAACATCATTATATTACATACTCCAATTTTAACCAAACACAGGAATCTAACATTCCCAGCAATCTAACATTCCCTAAGGTAATCTGACATTCCGTGAACCAAACGACCCCTTAAAGTAATTCAAAATAACTTTATAAAGAGTAAATACCCAAAATGGTCCATCGACTATAGCTAAATTCACAAATTGGTCATCGACTTTCAACTTCAACCAATTAAGTCCTTAACTTTGCAATTTTAACACAATTTGATCCTCTGTCTATTTGACCATTTGTTGACTGTGATTTTTGAGGATATATATGTAATTTCATGGTCCATCGTCGGGTTTTTAAGGTTCCGATTGCATTTCCAGACCGCGTTGTTACATTTGAATCCGCTGCCGAAAGCAATCTACCAAATGCGGTTGCCTTTCTTCATCCTCCCTTTGGATTCAATGTAGTTGAGTTCGTACTAGAGCAAAGAAGATGACGTGTTTCCGAACCGGTGCAACGTCATCCTGGAGTCCTCCACGTGCTCCGACGAGAGCTGAAGGTTTTTCTGGAGATCGTCGATTACGGTCAACAAATGGTCAAATAGATGGAGGACCAAAGCGTGTCAAAATTGTAAAATTAAGAATTTAATTGGTTGAAATTAAAAGTCGAGAACTAATTTGTGAATTTAACTATAGTGGAAGGACCATTTTAGGTATTTACTCCTTTATAAATTATAACCTTTGCTAGTAACCGGCTCGAATCAAACTTATACGTACAGTGGTTGAACCCCCACGCCACACTTAAGCCGCCCTCTCCTACGCGCGCTCTATATATAAACACGTTACGCGCTCTGGCTGCGACGCTGCACTGATTCTATTTCCGATCAATCAGAAACCTGAGCTTCGATCCAAGTCGTGTTACCAGTTGACCTCCATGGTTTCACCCGCCAAAAGTCAATTCGGCTCTCTTAGCTCTTAACTTTTCGTTTCTTAAATTTGATTTATAGAAAGATTTAGTTTCGTTTCTTACTTTTTCTTTTTATAGAAAAATTTAGTTTCGTTTCTTAAATTTGATTTGCTGTAGTTCTCGTTCAAATGCCAATGTATTTCCTCTTTCTCTCTGTCTTTAGATTTTAAACGGAAGATTTGTAGTAATTGTTGTAACGTAGCGTGAACTAGGGTTAGGGCTTTTTAGAAAAGTTGATGGAGATGAAGGGTTCTCGTAGACCGTTTGACGGGCCAAGAGTTGAGCCGGGGCTGAAGAAAGCGAGGTTAGCAGAAGATGCTGCTCCCGATCTTAGTTCTAGCGGACGGGGTTTTATTCAGCAACGGCCGGTCAGTTCAAGATTTCAGCATAGTGACAGAGGTGACGCTGAGAGTAGTGATTCAGTTCGTGGGCCATTTCCGCCACAGCAGCATCACGAGCTGGTCCGTCAGTATAAGGCGGCGTTGGCTGAGCTCACGTTTAACTCCAAGCCAATAATTACCAACTTAACTATCATTGCCGGTGAAAATTCGCATGCTGCCAGAGGGATTGCGGCCACTATCTGCACCCACATTCTTGAGGTGATATTTTGGATTTTAATGCATTTTTTCATTTCCCAATCTCGTGCTATATTTCTTTATTTGTATGGAAAGGAGATTCTTTTACCAAGAGTAGAGTAATTGTCTTCTATTTCTGAATTATTAGAATGGATTAGATGAGCTCGGTGTAATTCAAGTTCCTACTATTTGAAAGTTAAGATGATTGTTTTCCAAAGTAAAGAAATTTTGTGTTTTTTTTTTCATGGCCTTTGTCAAGCTTAAGTCTTGATTTCCGATGGTACTTGTGATGGCATGTTGTCTTGTTCTGCAAAGTTGCATCTTTTCATTTTAAGTTAACCCAAAAGCAATGGTTCTTTAAAAAAAAATCCACAATGAGGTTGTTATTTCTCCACAAAGAATGATACATTCAATTTCCATTCTTCCTTGGAATCTATGCCAAAGCTCTATGATTTTCTGTAATGTAATACGCATAACCACATTGGTCCTCCGCGTTGCTAGCTACTGTTGCTTTATTTTAATGTAAGCTGTTGGGACAGAGAAAGGGTGGATTTGGTATTGTTTGAATGTAAACTGATCTTTAAAGAAAGTTGCTTGGATAAATGAATTGGTTTCGAACCTGATTTCTGCATAATTCAGACGGTCCCTCATATTTACAGAAACAGCAGCAAATCATCACTCACTCGTGAAAATTGTCTTCTACTCCTGGTTGCGCTGAATGGACAAAGAAGATTTATTTATCTTTGGTTGTTCCATAAGGCTGAGTTGAGTTTGGCAGTTTGCTTACTCAAGGAACTGTCAACTATTCTAGATTGTTAGCACAGGAAAAAGGTTGGGGCTTTACTTTTTCTTGTCAAAGAAAGCAAATGAAATGCATGTATTTGCTTTCCTTCTGTATTTCTATTGAGAGTTGAGACTGTATTTAATTCTAGTTTTGTAATTAAAGTCAGAAGTATGTTTCTGTTACTTAATCCATCTCCTTACCTTCTAAGGTGGTATTATCATTTCCTTGCCAGTTTAGTAGTTGGTGTGTTTTCGTAGTGGTGTTGGTACTTTCAAATTTCAGCCTTTCAGGATAATTACTTCACTTGTGTTATGTTACTCTGTATTAAAGAACACTTTTCAATTAGATCCATCATCCACTTCTCTTCCATGATGCAAAATTTCCGTTATTTATTTGTAATTTCTACTAACGAGTTGCATCCCAATTAGTTTTTAATTGAAGGGAGTTTGTATTTGGTTGAATAGCTAAGTATATCAACCCATTTCATTTCATGTGGACATGTGGCTGTGATCTTGATGTTTAGTCTATTGCTAGCATTACATGCCTATGTTTTTCTGCAGGTCATCGGTTTTTTGCTTTGACTTTTTCTTTTGTTTTTTTTTACCAGATCTCTCTCTTTCATGTTTGATTTTGCTTTAGTTCTTGTCTGATCTGTCCATTGGGCCTTCTCTTTATTAGTTGATGCTGTAATCATTTGCCAACTTTCATTAATCTAGCTGCGGGGAAT